CGAGCCCCGACGACTCGCTTTAAGTGAGCTTTGAAGCTCTTCACTCCGGCTTCCCACAGACCGCCAAAATGCGGAGCGGACGAGGGGACGAACTCCCATTCCACGCCGTCGGCGGCGAGAACATCTCTCATTTCGGGGTGATCCTTCAACGCGTGAAACTGCCGTTGCAGTTCGCGGTCGGCACCGTGGAAATTGGTACCGTTATCACTGTACATCCGACGCGGCAACCCGCGGCGACACGAGAACCGACGGAACGCGGCCAAAAAACCGTCCTTGGAATAGTCTTCGACCAGCTCGAGGTGCACGGCCCTCGTGGCGAGGCAAATGAATAAAGCGACGTAGTTCTTTCTTGTTTTTTATCCGCGCCAGACCAACGGAAGAACATTAAAGGGACCGGCGTAGTCCACTCCGGTGTGGTCGAACGGCGGCGACGGGTTAACCCGAGAAGCGGGAAGCCCTCCCATGAGTTGCGAGCAAGGCAGCGCGGAGTAACGCGTGCACGTAACGCACGCGCGAATATGAGATTTAACGGCCTTACGACACCCGATTATCCAGTGCCGCTGTCGCAGCGTGCGGATGACGAGCTGCGTTCCACCGTGCAGGGTGGCTTTGTGCGCGCGCTGAATCAGTAGCTCGGCGATCCGATCCCTGGGAAGTATTATCGGGTGCTGCTCGTCGTAGCGGAGAGCGGCGTTCTGCAACCGCCCGCCAAGACGGAGTAAGGCGTTCTCATCTACGAACGGATGCAAAGCCCTTAGAGGGCTGGATCGCGAAAGAGAAGAATTAGTGCTTAATGCTCTAATTTCCGGCGCAAATGCTAATTTTTGCGCGTAGCGGAACCAAAACATTTCGGCTTCGCGAAGCTCAGGTACTGTTAATACGAGTGACGTATGCTCGGATTTCTGGCGCTTTACTCGAGAAATGAAGCGTCATACGTAAGCCGTGACTCGGATTAATCGAGTCCACGTTGAGAATTTGCGAATCATTTCCCACTCGTTCTCATTTTCAACGTGGAGGACGACGTGAGCGCGAGCTTCGTCGTAGACCTGTTGATTGGTACTACGATCAAGAGAAAGAGAGTGGTCG